TAATTCATCTTTAGCCTTTGAACCGCTGCCTTAAATCATTGGGCTACACTGGGCTAGAATAGCCCAACCTCCAACCAACTTTCGTCGCTAACACAATCATCGCTCCATTCCTTTTATATTACTTACATATTTTGGCTAATATTTACTCTTATTTGCATTTAATGCTAATGCGTTGCTAAAAGCTATTTCATATACTTCTTCCCATATTTAAGATTCAATCAATGTTATTCTTCAGCAATTAATCAATTCATCTTATATTTAACATTAACTTTCCTCTCTTTGAGGTTATCTCATGTAAGTCGTGCAAACGAGTTGACTCGTGTTGATCGTGTACATTTTTTCATTTCCTTAAACCTGTATAAATAGATAAATAACTATACGATGGTTGTCTTTTTGTTGATACAATATAATACATTTTATTAGCTATATCACTTGTAAAAACAAAGGCTTTGTGAATTTCCGCCTTGTGTGTCAATAACAGCGAAACCATCATTGAATGTTTCATTCTATACCAACTTACGCACTTAGCCGAATATCATTGATAAAGCTGATGCCATATATCAAAACACATGATAATGCGATTCTTTAGCTTGATAACACTCTAGTACGCATTTTCAAGCGCAAACTAAAACGTACAGGATAGTCTGAAAGTATGAATTTCGCACTCAAATAAATTGAAAATACAAACGAAAAGTAAAGGCAAAAGTGATTTGTTCACATCGACCCACCATTTTTACCTTTATCCATGAAGGATATATGTACGTTAGGTTTGATTTTCTTCTTGTGAAACACAGAAACATGCTGCAAAGGCTTTCCAAACTGTGACCCAATGTGGTCGTCTAAGTTGTGGTTTGGATTAAAATTTTTTTCAATATACTTCTTGGACTTTGCCATTATTTGTGGAATACAATTCGTACATAGTTGTACGACGCACGGAAAGCCTTAAAACTTACTACGAAATAATCAACTGACCGTCACGCTTAGTGCATGTAGGATGAAGCTCATAGTTAGTTAAATGACTTCGCAAATAAAGATAATCGCTCCTTTCGTATAAACTTTTACGGACTTTTACGAGTAAATTAATAATTTTTGGTCATGGCTTGTGGCTTGAAAACAGCACTGATGTTACCGCCAATGAATAACGCTTGAGAAACGTGATAACTAATTTTTATTTTACGACTTGGACGATATATGGTTTCAACAAAATGGTGCAATATGCCTTACATTTTGGGACGGAATCATTTTATTGGGAGGAAAGTTCACTGACTGCATAATTCTTAGATATACATATGTGAGATTGTCACAAAGATCATACGATGTAGCTCTACTGAACTTTTTACTTTAGAGTTATGTTAAAGCATTGATTTACTCCCACAAACCACTGGGACCGCAATGACCTTATTCACCAAGATCGCTCGTGATGCATGTCAGTGTTCTCGACCACGATGGGTAAAATGTTTTGAGATGGCTTCGACGATTTCTGGTTGCGATATAAAATCAGAATAAATCTGTTATTATTTTACATATATCAAAAAGCTTATAATATTTTTTGCGATATAGCAAATCCGAAGAAATCAACAACACTTGCTTACGAAGGCATCACTAAGCACGCGTGCGGTTACTATGAGCCAATACTATCAGAAATAGTGGAGAACTACAAACTCCATTTGCGGAAGTAGCAAGAGGGAGAATTGATAGAAAATTTTATGGTAGCATTGCGCAAGTTGTCTATTAAATGTAAATTTTGGTCTTGTCCAGAGAGAGACTCTCTGTCTCTTCGATATCAATTTATGCTTCAACTCAGTAATAAACGGACAATATCCTTCGCTGAAAATTAAGGATCTGACAGTTGATAAAGTGTTAAGTATAGCCGTAACAATGGAATTGTCAGGCAAAACAACATGCTATTGTAAAAGGAAAAAATTGTAACCATAAAAGTAAAAAAAACAAAAACATTGCGATCAATGTGTGGCAATAAGGCGCATTCAGCGGATAGGAGCACACAGAAAAACACGATATATTTATTATATAAGCAGAAGGTCACTTAAGGAAAATGTGTTTCAAAGATAAATCGAAGGTCCAAGAAAAGTATGGTCATACCAACTAAATTAATGGTACGGTAGGAAACATTTGTGTAGTATTAGTGTACTTAATCAGAATTTTAAATTATCTTCATGTTTGAACATTAATAATGTAACTCTGACTTTCGAAATAGCCACATGATCACCAGTAGCTCTGATCTATGCAGCAGAGGAGAAGAAGCACTTCCCTACGTTTCAATTACACAATTTGACCGAGAATTGGTTAGTTATCGTAATACAAGAATAAAAGTATTTGGCTTCCCGTATGTTCATGTGGTGCGGTGCGAAAAATTGAAATTGAACATCCTACCGTCTAATAGACAAGTCATACTTGGTGTCATTTGTTGTCAGCCTTAAAATTGAATTGGAATGAAATTTTTAAGGCCTGTAACGCTGACAATGCATTGAATATTCACAGTGACCTATCGACATTGTCTGCAAAATACGAAAATGCTTTTGATAAATCCGCTGGGCGAAATAAAAAATATACAAGCTAGAAATAGAGTTGAAAACAACTCTACGCCAGTATTCTAAAATCGCGCCAAATACCTTTTGTGCTCAAATCAGTTGTTGAAGATGAAATAAACGGGTTAGTCAATGAAGGTCCATTGCAAAGGGTGGATTCAATTGATTAGACCACTGCGATCGTGCCCATAAGAAAAAGCAATAGCAAAGTCAAAATATGCGGCAATTATAAGGTAACCGTATAATCTCGTTCAATTATCGTTGGGCACTCATTACAACCCATTCGTGAAATGTTTGCAAATATGGCTGGTGATAAAAAATGTAGTAAATGGGATTTAACAAAGGCGAAAATTCGCGAGAATGTGAACAAGATTGTCGCTTAAGTGGTACGAGAGTGTACATCACAATAAAGTTAAGAAGTACAGTTTTACAAGAATTGCCTACAGCACAATTTCGGAAGACCCCCATCAACAGATTTGCTAGAAGCTACTATGGCGGAAATGTATAGACATTGAAATTGAAAATACGGATAAAACATGTGCAAATTGCCAATAACACCTCCCTGATCCGTCAAAATTGTTTATACATTGCTGGCAATGAGCGGCCCCCTTTGAACGTACTCACCTAGACTTTGCCGACCCATTTAAATGTTCTTACTTTTTAAGATTATCTGATGCATATGCCAAATGGCCCGAAGTCCCCGTGATGTCTAACATAACTACAGAATTGACGATACAAAAAGTAATGGATTTTTTTGTTTTCGGATTCCACAAGTATTAATAAATGACCATGGGTCGCAGCTAACGTCTCATGAATTTCAAAGATTCTTGAAAAGTAATGGTATTATACATAAAAAGGAGCTCCTTATCATCTAACTAGAAATAGACAAGCCGAAACATACGTTAAAATGATTGAAGACTAGTTTAAAGCTATTAAGTGCGAAAAACATGAAATGCACACAGAATTATACAGAATTTTATTAGCCTACCACCAAAATGGGCACGCAACAACTGCAAAGTTCGCTCACAACCAATCTTTGGCCGCTAGATCAGAACGAGAGTAAATCTAATGATATCGCAAGAAAATTTTTGAGAAGTAAAATCGTGTTGAGATTCGAAATTTAATGTAGGAGAAAGAGTTGCGGCAAGAAATTGTTTCTCACCAGAAAAATGGAAATTTGGCACTGTCGTAAAAATCCTAGGAAAATTACCTTATTTTAAAATTAGACGATCATATGGAAACGTCACGTAAGTTAACTTCGACCAATTGACCGCAAAATCGAAGCAAATGATTTGCCACTTTGAAGGGGAGGCAAGTGCAGCTAGATCAAAAGCTTTCGAGGAAATGAGCAGGCTGATCGAGCGGCAAATTATGCTCCCTCTGCTCCTCTATTTATGGATGATGTCATGGAAAAGTTGTATCTTCAAAGATACATTGGAAGAAAAGGTAAAGAGAAAATTGCAGGAGGAAATTTACAATACCATCATCAACACTACTCTTCCATTAACCCTCAATTAACTCCACCTTTATATCCAACAAATGTGGAGAAAACCAAGATCCAAACATTTTCGAGAATTCGCCTTGGTCATACAATTGCAACTCGCCAATGGATCTTGAAGAAGTCTTCCTCCCCAATCTGCAGTTGTGGACAAACTCTCACTATAAAGCATATTCTCTGCGACTGCCTTAACTTTTCCCTGGCTAGAAGTATTGCATTTGGAACGATTAACCCTTTGGACATTCTAAAATCAGTTTCGAATCGAATATTAATTCTATATATTACTTTATTAATACTACTAAGCTCATTATCTAATGCACATTTATTTAAATTAGAGCCGATAGCCCATGTTGCTAGTGCTCAATGTCTTTTTTCACTCTAAGAATTTATTTCATTAGTCGAAAATTATAATAATAAATATAAAAATAATAGTATTAAATCCCCACGGTGAATATAAATTTTTATTTGTATTGAGTCATAGTTGACACATTTTTTTTTTATGATAAGTTTTTCCTCGTTTAGTTATAAACAATAACTTCAACTACTTTCAAACTAGATTCCAATACACATCTTACCATTACAATACACATCTGCGCATTACATTTGCGTTAAATAAAAGAAAAAATATTGATATATTTTCAGCCAAACGAGCGTATCTTACAATTCCTATTGCAATTTTTCCTTTTATTTTTTCTGTGATTTTCTTTAAAGAAATTTCTTTGTAGTGATTTTGTTTTTCTGCTGGCATTATCCTCTAAAGCGTATGCGGTTTGAATTTTAATGAAACCATCGCGTATCATCGTATCCGACGTCTCTCTCATCATCATTTCGATTACTATTATTGAAATAAAACGTTTCTAACTCTCTTTTTACATATTTACTATTTAGTATAAGACTCGTTTGTGCGTACGTGTTCGAGTGTATATAAACAGGCAAATAATACTGCAAAAATTGTATTAAAAATTTACGATAGCACTTTTATTTCGGTTTTCGCTTGAAAACTTTTCTTTTTTTTCTTGGAACGAATGATTACAAGTATGAATCTAACTTTGGTGCAATGAAAAACCGACTGTTAGTTATCTTTAGCATCACATTTTATTTTGGCTTTATATTCATATTCTGGATGTGACTATGTACACGTCGTTCAAGTTACGAATGTTCCTAATGGTTTTACGGTTTGTTGATGACATGCAACATTATTTATGTAAATTTTTATTTCAGTTTATGTTGTGCATATCGTTAAAATAGAATTTTGAAAATATTGAAAGTTTTCAATCCAACAGGTTGGTACGAAAGTAATTTCGGAGTTTGTAATGGTAAGTGTTGACATTTATTAATTACTCGTTCCATAATTTTTTTTTTTTTTTATATTTTGATAGTCGCAAAGGTAGAAAGATGTTCACTTTTATTATTAGGCAAAACTAATGTTTATGGAAAGACCAGGTCTCAAGTTTGAATACTAACAAACATCGAGAAAAACATTCTAAGTACATTGAGAAGAAATTGGATCCGAAACCATTTTGCTCTCGTTATTTCGATTTTAGGTTCCAACTTCTGCAAAACTTATTCTGTAATAATAGCCTTCTAGCCAATTGCAAGTAGTGCAAAATCTTTAAATGTGGGACTTATTAGAAGAATGCACAGCTTAGCATTACCCTGACTGCCATCACCGTCAATTTTGGTATCGCTATCTTTAACAGTAACACGGACACTTTTGTTTAAAATAGTATATTATCCAATCTCGCTGCAGCTTTTCAAATTAGCATAAAAGACTGTCCTACATAATAGCCATGCCAACCGCAGCTAAATCAGATAGAACGATAGCAAACCAATATCAGTTCATAATTCGG